TTTCCTTTATCAAACTCTGTGTATGTGGACAGGTAGACCCACACATTATTTTTCTGAAACACTTGAAAGTGAGTTGCAGATATGATATCCCTTTACCCCTAAATACTTCAGTATATTTCATGCAGAGAAGCACATTCTCTTACATAACACAGTAAAATTATAAACATCAGAAAATTATCACTGATACTCTCAGAGAATAAGCAAACATCTGAAAAATTAAAATGACCACATCTTTTGCAGGAAAGATCTAAGACTGAGATATAGTGGTTAAAAAGCTGGGTTTGAAATTTGGACTTAATTATACCTTCAGACAGATGAGATCTTTCTTGCAGCTGCTTCTGACCCATGCTGAAATCATTGCCTGTCATTTCCCTGAGACTCATAAGGGAAAAAACCTGATTGGATAACATTCACCATAGCCAAGCTTACGCATGGACTTATTTGCTAAAGGCTTTTAGCCAGATAGTCTATTCTGAAAGTTATAGGAAGTCTTCAAGTATTTTGAAGGGAAAATTGGTGATTAAAAAGAAAAAAAAAGCCTTTATTAAAGGGAAACCCAGCTGCCTGGAATAGGTACAGTGTTAACAATCATATGTAAAATGTCTGTATTATGAAGTAATGCAAAATAAATTCCTGAATGCAGAACTGATTCTAACATGAGGACTAGCTGCTCTGACTGAGGCTTTTCCCTCCGGGCATGGCAATGAAGCCGCAGCAGCTTTCAGAAAGGAAATTATGTCATTTCTTAAAAGCAGCTAGTTAGTCATAAACATTTATTAGACACCTTCTAGATGAGCTGCTATGGGAATCTGAAAGGTTGTGAAATAAATTATTATTCTGAATAATTGTCAGAAAGTATCAAGTTCTTGCTGGACCCACTTTTTCTAAATATATATAATCCCTAGCAATAATTCACCATCACACCATAGTACCAGTTCCTTTGTTTTTCATACTATCTGTCCTTGGGTTTGGAACAAAGCCACCTGCAAATTTCCTTTCAGTGTTCTCCCATGAACCTTTAATCTCCCTGACACCTGACCAGGAACCCTCCTGACACCACCCCCTCACCTCAGGTACCAGTACTCTCAAGCATCTCCTTGACAACTCAGAACCACCTTTCAACCAGGCACCTGGTTGGTTGAAGATGTCCTCATTCCCCTGAGAAAACTAAGTTATGCCTAAGTGCCATTTACTGATACCTTTTTCATCAGAGGATACTTCTGTTTTTTAAAAAATATTTTATAGTAACGTAATGTTTTAAAGAAAATTTAAGGGGGCAGGTAATTCAGTTTATTTATTTATTTATGGTTTTTGTTTTGTTTTTTAGAACAGGTACTGGGGATTGAACCCAGGACCTCAGGCATGCTAAACATGTGCTCTACCACTTTGAACTATACCCTCTCTTCCCCAGAGAATATCTTTCTTATTTTTGTTTTTCATTTTATTTCTAATGAGAACAGAGAATGGCAGGCTCTGAAGCAGCAATCTTCCTGCTCTCCCCCACCTCACTCGCTCAGCTGGCCACCTAGTCTGTATGTAGGCAGGCCCTTCTGTCCTTCACATTCCAGGTGAGGCTGCAGACTCCCTCTCAGGAGAGCATTTTCCAGTAAGTGTAATGAGTTTGGTCTGTGTTATCCAGATACTCCATATATGCCTAGTCCTCTTCAGCACACCTGGGTTGGCAGTGCACAATCTTTAGAAACAGAACAGATTTTCCTCCTCCCTGTGGGTTCGTCACCAGTTGTGGGTTCTGGCCAGCAGAAGTCCCACCGAGACGGAATGAATTACTCAGGACTCTGTGGAAAAAGTCAAGAGAGTGAGAGGGAGTCGGGAGCCAACTCCACGAACCTCTCAAATGCTCCCATATTTATTGTGTACAATCAAAGGAGAAATCACTGACAGTTGTGTGATGGAATGCAGGAATTTAGGGAAAGACAGGGTGGGATCGAGATTGTAGAGTTTGGCTCAAGGTCAGAAGACCCTTTATGTTTTGGTAAATCATGTTCGTGTTGACATCAGCGAGCCTTACAGCTTATCAGGGCGGAACGTATGAGAAGCAGCTGCTTAACATTTTTCTTGGACTCAGGTGGCTGTGCCTGTCTTAGGTTGCCCACCTCCGGTGGGGGGGGGTCTTACCAGCCACTGGCTAACCAGCCTTCTCACCTCTGAGTCTGCATCTTTTTATAACTTGTTTACCATCCCAGCCCAAGACTCTTTCCTTTGGGGGCCTACAGTTTACCTTTAGGGAAGTCATGGGAAGAGGGGAGCAAGATACTTTCTTATAGATATGTTAAAACAGACCACCAGTCCAGCCAGTTCCTTGCTTTGGGGATAGATGACTATCTAACAGCAGGCACGCCCAGCATTTATAGCCAAGGGCCTAGGTCCTTGCTTTGCAAGGAGCAGAGTGCTTTCTAAAACCTCAACTATGCAAGCAAGGCAGTTACTAAGCACATTTGCTCTTCTTTAAGGAGACAAGCGGCTGGGGTCTGTTACAATTTGTTAACCCAATCATGGGCTCCCACACCTCCCTGTCTCCTGCTTGAATCTCCAGCTTGGAATCTCAGTGTTGGTTTCATGTTTGGGAGCTTATTTAACTGGCACCGATCCCTATCCAAGTTGCTGGGGATCCCAACACCACCAGATTTTCTCTCTTGACTGTAAACTGAACAAAGAAGACCAATGATCCTTGCCTGTCTCCTCTAACTAACTGAGCCACCAAGAGAGGGGTCACTGCTTCTTTGGGGGTGAGTCTCCTTGGAGAGGTGTGAGACATTGGTGCACAACACTAGATAGTTACTCACTGTGAGCTCTCCATGCTATTGCTTGGCTCAAGGGTTAACCGGGTGAAAAAGACATTCAGTGAATGAGTTCTTTGCAATTTGACCATAGTAAGGAACTTGTCATGAGTCCCCTGGAGTTGGAATGAGGATGCAAAACTATAACCCCATATTTGCCATCCATTTAGAAATACAACATGATGAGATCATAAGAACCTCAGAGTTCAGCCAAGCCATACTGCTGTGAGGGGCAAGGGATGGATGCGAGAACTGACCACTTAATTTACCAACAAGAGAATCCACACTTGTATTCACTTTAGTTTGTACTCCTCTGTTTAAGATTTGTTTCAATGAAAGAGTTTCCTCCTAGAGATGTATGCAAGTGTGCAAAGAAATAAAAAGAGTATTCATTAAAGCATTATTTGCAATAGGGAAATATCAGCACCAACCTAAATGTCCATCATTACGATAATGGATAAATTGTAGCCCAGGTATTTAATGGAATACTGTAGAGAAGAGAAAATTAACAACCTAGAAGTACACATAGGAATGCAGATTAATTTCAATTAGATAATGTTGAGATCTAAAATACAAGTTGGACTAGAATACAAATTGGATGCATAAATGTATCACTTACTTGAAGTTTAAATATTAAAAACAACATTGTGCATGGCTTTAGAATATATACACAGGTAGTTAAAGCACAAAAAACATAGATACAAGTGAAGCATATCAATTTCACAGGGAGGTTTCCTCCTTCCTTCTGGGAAGGGCACTGGATTGAGGGTTTCACTGGTATCTGTACTATTTCACGTTTTAATATGGTGGTATATAGGTGAGTATCTTTTTCTAAAAAATTTTTGTGTGTCAGAAATATTTCACCGCAACACTTTTTAAAAGAAACTGTTCTATTTTTTAAAAGCTTGAAAGCCAGTGAGCTAGGAAAGGGATCTCAGGAATGCTGATATTCAAAGTTATAAGCAATCCTCTACAGCCCTTTCCAGGAGTGACCTTCTAAAGCCCATCCTGCCTTCTAGAGTAAGGGCTCTTGAGCCTTTGCAAGCCTGTGGCAAATGAATGTGCTACCCCTACTCCCATCCTTGATTCTCATCTAGTTGGTCTGAGGTTTTTATTAAGCATACGGGTGCCTCTAGTGGGCATGGTCAGGGACCTTTGAGAAAGAAGCTAAAGGTAGACAAATCAATCCCGGGAGCCCATGGTCCTTCAAAGCCTTGCCACAGGCTCATTGCTAACAATGAGCTGGAGTTAAGCAGGGATTACTGCAGGATCCAAGCAGCATCAGTGCCGTGACTTTGTATACTTGTTAGTGTATTATTCCTGTTCCATGTTCAACACCATGAAAACCTTTTAAACTGTGTGGTTTTTGAGGATGGAGGTGCCAGAGCAGCAGATAATGTTAAGATATGATGGGGAAAGTTAAAACAAGTCCTAAAAGGCAAACATTTTTATTTTCCAAATTAAGGAAGTATTAAATTAGTTTAACAGATTCACGTTGCTACAAATTATCAGGGATGGAACTAACAGTATATGGTGAATTCTATAAATACTCCTTGGCATTAACTGGGGAGAGATGCAGGTAAATCTTCTTGTCCTCCATTATTAAGATAATACATGCTTTCAAAATATCAGAATATTGAAAAATGTACTGTGTAGCACAGGGAACTATATTCAATATCTTGTACTAACCTATAATGGAAAATAAACTGAAAAAGTATATGTGTGTGTGTGTGTGTGTGTGTGTGTATATGTATATGTTTATGTATAACTGAATCACTTTGCTATATACCTGAAAGTAACACAACATTGTAAGTCAATATTACTTCAATAAAAATACAGACAAATGTAAAGATGATTATAAAAATCACCATTAGTATCACAATGAAAAATAACAGATGTTTGTTACTTGAGAACTTGCTGATGTTATAGTCAGGGTTTGAAATTGGCAAAGGTGGGAGTGTTTACACCACAGGAACAGACAAATGTTGTAAACCAGCTCCCTCACTTCTATCCTAGGTAAGTAGTTAAATTTTTACTAGCAAAGCACTGAGCCCATCTGACATACATGGATTACCCTCCCCTCCTAAACTTAGATAATGCTAAAATGCAGTTTTGAAACTGCAAGTGTATATCCAACCCAAAGTATATTCTGAGTTATCTTGGGAAACTAACAAGAACATCCCTGTCTCATGCTGTATGTAGGGGGAGCAAGGACCTCAAGGCTTCCCGGGGCCAAAGGGCATGACAGGCCGTGGCCTCCCTGGTCAGAAGGTAAGTATTTCAGGACCTCAGAGAGAGAGAGAGGCTTAGGCTTAGGATCTCAATAGCTTAACTACAACTCTGGAAGAGCTCTCGTGCACTTGTCACTCTTCTCCTTACAACTCTTAGAGGAAAACATCCATTTGAAAGTGAATCCTTACGCATTTCTTTTCCTAACTACAAACATGCTTACTCTATGAAATCTCATTTTCTTCAGTCTCAAAAGCCAGGTGATAAGGAATAAATCCTTATACCATGTAGAAGATTCTAGATAACTCAGGCATTAAATTGTATAATAGCTGAAGTTCCTAAAGGCAGTGACCTGATCTGATGGTATCTCATGGTCTCCTCACCTTGAGATCTCTAGTTCATCATGAATTAGAGTATGGTAATGGGGGGGGCTATAAATAAAATGCCTCTCATTTTTTTTTCATAGAGTATATTTATATCAACAAGAACCACAGGTCTTCAAGAGATGCCAGTTGCAAATAAATCAAATTATAGAGTTTTTCTTAAGTGGCTTTAATATTCACATTCTACACTTATCTTTTCATTATTTTATGTAGGGAGAGCATGGAGAACGGGGCGACGTGGGAAAGAAAGGGGATAAAGGGGAAATTGGAGATCCCGGACCTGAAGGAAAACAGGCAAGAAGTGATTTTTAAAGTCTGACTGTAACTGCATACATTAGCTTGTTCCAACCTACACTGACTGCTACTCTTCTTCCACTAAGTAGGGGTTACCAGGACCAAAAGGAGACCTAGGACTTACAGTGAGTACCAATCCTAGAGGGTAACTGAGGGGGTTGTGTTTACAAAATTATTGCATTCTTGTTTTAGCTTTAGAAGGATGATGTCTTCTGACACAGAATTCCAGTTGCCATGTAACTGATGGCGCTGCTGCAAGCCCAGAGCTGACTAAGATGCATGAGGTGCTTGAATCTGAACATGAGGGGGCACAGAACTCCCAGCAGCCCTTACCCTGCCTCGTGGCAGAGATGTAACTAACCGCTGCCTCTGACCCTTGGTAGAAATGTTAACAAGGAAGTGAGCTGTTTAAAAGAAGCCAGATGAACAAGTGATTTTTTATTTTCCATGATCCTTCACATTTCAGAGTGGGGGAGCTCTTTTTTTCTTGAATTCTTTCCATTGGGAAGTGCTCTGCAGAGAATAGCAATCACAAAGTTGGGATTGTGTATTTTCACGTATTCACTTACTCAGCAAATACTGGTGAAGATGGACAGATTCTCCCCTATTCTCTCTGCAACACGGCAAACAAAAAGCCAACTCTTGAAAGCCCCACTGGATGGGGAAGTGCTAGAATTTCTATAGCAAAATCGAATTCTTCCTTTTGGATTTTGAGGCATTGCATCTCCAGGAATTAAGGAGAACTAGGGACCTTCTCCCTTTTCCCCTTTTGGACTCATTGGTGGGTCACGGTCTGGGGATGTTGATGCTATGTACAGGGCTAGGAAAATGCAGGGGTGGGAGGTGAGGTGGTGAAGGTGAGAGCTGGGCCTGTGAGAACAGAACTCCACATGGTCTTTATGGCCCATCTGCCTTTTTCTCTTTGCGGTTCCCCTGCCACATGTCAGACCTTCCCAGATGCCGGTGGTGGATGAAGCAACTATGTGTGTGACAATTTCTCCCCAAAAGCACCAGAGGAGAGTGTATGTAAAATGCCTGGAGGAACGTTTCTCATAGGTTTATACCCTCCCTCTTGTTCCAACGTGGAGAGGGGAACTGGTTTTCCTTCATCCATGTATTCATTCATTTCACCAGCATTTACTGGGCACATTTATTAGGTCAAGGTCTGAGATAGGTGCTGGGGGAATGGTTGAGAAGAAGAGACTATGTCTCTGGACTCAAGGAGCTCACAGCCTAATGGAGAGAATGACAAGCAAAGGATGTTCACCTATAGTTTAATAAATGTTGTGATAGAATTGATCTGTGGGTCCAGAGCAGACGAAACAACGTATGCTTTAATGCAAAGTCTCCTTTCCTTCACACTTCCCTTTTTCTAGCATTTAGAAAACCAAGGTCAGCATGAAATGAGAATCTAATATGTGGCAGATGCAGTGTTAGGCTCCTTTGCATCAGTACCACCCTTACCCAGTACTGCAGGTGCCTGGGCGGCCCATATAAAGCATGGCCCCCAGTCTGGACCTCTGGTCCTTCTCCAGCTACACCTCTTCCTCCAGGTGAGGAGTTCTTGGGGCCAAGGGGAATGACCACCATGAGCACACGCCCCACTCTGTACTGTACTTGGGTACACAGGACCTCAGATTGTCTCCCCAAATGGCCCTAAGTTTGGAGAGCTGACAACACTGGCCTGTATGCATAAGGTGGCCAAGGGGCAGCTGTTCTGGGGGATTTTGACAGAGCTTGGAAACCAGGATTGGGTTCACCACATAAATGCTGACCAAGGCCCCATGCAGTGCAGGACTGGTGGAGATGGGGTGGGGGTGCAAGGAAAAGGGGACAGACTACAGGCCACAGCCCTCTCTTGTGCAAGATCCACATCAATCCACACGACAGTCCATGAGGTCGGTAGCAGCATCTCCGCTTCAGATGAAGAAATGCCAAGTCATGCAGAAAGCTTGAGCAATTTGCCCTATGTCACTGCACTAGCAAATAGCAGAGAGCCCTTATTGCTGGAGTTGGCTTGTCTGATGCCATGACAGGACACCATGAATGCTCTCCTGGTATGGCCTCTTTCCTCCCCCTACCCCCATTCTCTCCCTGATCAAATACATTCCCAAACACTATCTGTTGCAGACTCATTTCAGACTCACAGACTCCTCTTTTAAGAGGCAAATACCACTGATGGAGTTGAAATTTTGAATCATTCATACCAGACTTCTTCAGAAAGACTGTTTCTTCACCTGTCCCTTAAATGTTAGCCTTTCCCAGCATCTGCCCACAGTCTTCTCTTCCCCGCCTTCAAACTCAAGGGGAGGGGCGGCCATTAAAGGCTGGAGGGGGGAGGTACAGTTTCAAAGGCTATTTAATATCACTGTCAATTTGAATGGAGAATGGAGAAATATTTTTATATTATAAATACAGAAGAGAATATGCTTGACAAAAGGGGGTGGGAAGGGGTCACACTGGTTAAAAAAGACAGAGAAGCCCGGCTTCACACAATCTCAACTGCCACCTGTGTTTCAGCAGCCAACTATACACTGGCATTTCTTAAATCTGCCTCCGCTAGGACCACTCTCCTGAGCACCAAACTTTACCTCCTACTGCCCAGCGGACATCGCCCTCTGGATGCCCCTCAGGTGCATCAGACTCAGCTGGGCCCAAGCTGAACCCAGTCGGAAGTCCCAGCCTGCCCCCATTCCAACCCTCCCATCTCAAAGAGCGGCACCTTTATCACTTCCCTTCTCCCACACGCCTTCTTTCCCTCGCTCTTTCTTCCAGTTACTCCCGAACCCGCTTCGTCTCCTTCTGAAATGTCCCTCCAGCCAGTCCTTCCCATCCATCACTTCCACCACTGCTTTCTGGTGGTGGTATTATTATTTTTGCCTGAACTACTTAGGCACCTCAAGCCCCTCTCTTGGCTGCCACAGTCACCTTTCTTGCATAAAAATGGAGTCAGATTTCTTCTCTGCTACAGACCACATGACTTCTCGCTGCTCAGGATAAGTCCACAGTCTTCAACATGACCATAGCACAGAGGTTTCTAGAGTTCATCTGCCCTCCACATTTCCTGTCATTCTTCGTCACATACCCTGAGTCATAAGTTTACTCAAGTACTGGACCGCACTGTGCTTTCTGAGCTCCGTCCTCTGCCTGGAAGCCTCTTCCTCCACCTCTCCCCACCCCACCCAACCCTGATCAAAGTCTACCTACTTCCTAGGACCACTGCTCACCCCTACTCTCCCACCCCTGTGGGCATGGTTCCTTGTTTCTGATCCAACAGCACAGTGCTTATAAAAGTATTTGTTTATTTATCTACTTCTTACTAAACTCATTTAAGTATGAGCCCTTTGAGGGATATAAATTTGATGCCTTCATCGCTGGCACTAAGTAGCCAACGCAGTCATTCAGTAATTTTAGTGGAAAGAGTGAAACTATTCCAGTGACTTAAAAGCAAAGAATACAAGGGAAATATTGATATATGACTACTTAAAGCATCTTAGACCTGGTTATACCGTAAAAGCACAGTGAAAAGAATTACAGTGCAACCTTGATACATAAATTGCTCCTACAAGTCAATAAAAGACAAACATTCTAATAGAAAAAATGGACAAAGGACATACAAAGATTGTGCCCAAGAGAATAAAACTTGCAAATATACATATAAAATAAAATTTACCCTCAAAATAATCGAATAAGTGTAATTTAAAACAAGGAGATATTTGGCTTTATCAAATGGCAAAGATTATATAATAATAATAACAGTATTGTGTCTCTAAAACAGAACAGGTTTTCTTGTATACTGCTGTTAGAAGTGTCAGTTGCTACTTTTCTGAAGGATGGTTAGGCAAATGCATCATGAGCCTGAAAATGGCCATGCATTTGTCTTCAGTAATCAAGTTTTTCAGAATACTTAATAATATGGGAAATTAATTATGATGAATTAATTAAGTGTTAATTGTTAAGTATAAAACTATAATCATAAAATTTAGGGTATAGTATTTTCTCCATGGGTAAAAAATTAAACATAAATATATTAAAAACATAACATTCCCTTGTCCTAGATACACAATATAAATATATTAATCCATACATTTTCCTTTCTAGACACATTCTAGTTTCAGATTTATTAATGCCTCTCTAAATGTGGAAAAGCATGACAAAGCCTGAGAAAAAGAACAACTGTTGACTCCTTCATGTCATGTAATTTTTAAAAATCGTACTGAGAGTTCTTTTTATGAAGCCACTTGAAATCGTTGGCTTCTACTCAATTTACAGTAAAAAAAAAATTAAAATGCCCTGAGTATTCTTCATACATGCTTTTGTTAAGCCATATAACAAGCTATGTCACCTTCACCCAGTTCTGTCACTATAAATTTTTTCCTTTAAAACATTACTTTTGTAACTCTTAAATTTTATCTTCTTAGATCAGGTCCACTGCTCGTTCCTGTTGAGATTTTCTGGGCTTCTGTTTCTTTCATATATTACATTAATCATCATCCCTGTCAGCTTCATGTCTTTGGCAAATGTAGACCCCTGACCTCTCTAGTCTCATTCCAGTCATTTGTAAACATGCCACTCAGAGCAAGGGGTTGGCAGAGTGATTCCTAGTACCCAGTTCATCTCAGGCCATGGATGGAGATGGAACATTCAGGAACCCAAGGCCATTTCATGGAAGAGCCTAACTGAGAGTATCAGGAAACTGGGGAGGAGACTTGCAAATTTGGGGACTGATACAGAAAAAAAAGGAGGGAATACAGCATAGAATGAATTCTCTTTCGACCCTGGTGCCTGTCTTAGTTGGTCAGCTGACGTGGGTTAAATCTTGTAACTGAAAGCATGCACTGCCTATGCCATTGTCATCCTCAGTATCTGCAGGGGACTGGTTCTAGGACTCCACCTTCACCCCGAACCCTAGCATATACCAAAATCTGTGGATGCTCAAGTCTGTTATATAAAATGGCACAATGCCACTGGCTCCCCCACCCATGGATACGGAGAGCCGACTACAGGTGGTACATACTTCGTGGAGCCAGACGGTGTGCTAAGAGCTGTGTGTGTGTTACCTTGTTTAATCCCAGCACAGCCCTGAGACACAGACACTGTTAGGTCACTTAATGCCCAAAGTCACACAGCTGGTAAATGCTGGAGCTGCGATTTGAACTCCAAGTCTGAGCTATCACGTTTCACAGCTCAAACACAATTCAATTATGATATAGTATAGCAACTTTTAGCCTGTGTGCTATGTATTTTATTTCCGGCAGTAGGAGGATTAAAGTCAAATAGCCCAATGTCAATTGTAAGAAGACATATCTTTTAGGACTGTGGGAAAAAATATTATGCTCATGCAATTAATACATTTCCTCTTTTCCTCCAGAAAGAAGAAATTATCAAACTTATTTTTGAAATATGTGGTAAGATTTGGCTATCAAGAAAAATACACCACTTTAAACTCCCAACCCTACTCTGTTCTGTGTTGTCAAGATAATGTGTCCACCCAGAAGATGTACTATATACTACACAGCTCATGGGAAAGGTGCAAGCACATTTGCAAAGTCAGTGGGACACTGAAAGGAAGCAGTGTGAGGGGCAGTGGGAATCCTGATTTAAGAAAAGAAACTCTTTTTCCCAGGGTGGTTAAGAAGCGTGAAGATACGGGCCTGGATCTGTGGGCAGCCAGGCCTTCTGTTAGCACAGAGCTCCTTTGTGCTCAGTGACACTGACCTGAGCTGGGGAAGGAAAGAACAACAAGGGGGACATGATTGCAGGGGCCTAACCAGTACTGAGGTCCAGTCCAGCTGGTGAGGATCAGGTTTGTGTTTCTCCTGAAGCAAGAAGTCTTTCTAAATTGAGTTTTGAGCACTGTGTCTAGAGGGCCTTCCATGGCAAAGGCCAGAGGACAGAGTCCAGAGGTCATCTTGTGTCACTTCTGTGGTGAAATACACTTAAAATAGAATTACCAGAACATGAAAGTAAAGCAAAAAGTTTAGCCAAAAGGCAAGCAATAAATGGGTAATGAAGATAAGAGACCCTGCTGTGTTTAAAATGGACAGAGGCAGTAATATGACTACCCTTCCATACAGAGAACCCCAAACTGGCGTCTCCCCCAAACTGCATCATAAGAACCAGTCTGGGACCCTCTACAGTGACAGGCCACTTTAGACGTTGCTGCTGAGTTATAGAAGCCCTGTGAAAATAGCACCCAGTTTCATAAGGGTTTGCTGCGGTCGGGCTGTTGGCCAACACGAGGTTACAAATATGCCAGTGGACTCTGATCATTCTTATTGCCTAGGGACTCTGCCCACTGCTCTGAATGATAAACCCTGAAGAGAAGTTGTTTATTGACCAGCATTCTGAGATCATTCCCTTTTAACAGCTTCATAGTATGGATGGGCTGCTGGCCTCCTTGATAAGACAGGAGCCACCTTAGTGATCACTGTGGGTGACTGGGGACATCGACTTAAGTAGCCGAGGGCAGCTACTTTTGTGTCCTGTTAAAGGCCCTAATCTTTTCCTCACAATTAAAAAGTTTCACCCCATGACTTTATCCACGGGCCTTGCCAATGAGCAAATGTTCATTTTCACACAAAGATATGGCTAAAGACTGAAACGCTAGCTTTCAGATTCACAGTGAATACAATTGGTGGAACGATAAAGAGCAAGTTTAGAAGAGTGGTTCTCTCTCACGGACAGGGAGGGGACTGGAATCAGGAAGGCACATGCAGGGATGCCAGCTCTTTTAAAATACTGTTTTATTTTTTAATCTGAGAAATTGGCACATAGGGGTTTATTATTTTATGCTCTACAGCATTTTTTTGGTGGGAGTTTTTGGGGCAGCATATTATTTTTGAAAAAAGTCAGGTATAGAAACCAGAAGGGAGACAATTGTCAACCGTGTTCACAGTCACAGAAAAGGAAGGTTACGATCCGGGTTTCTGGTTCATCCCTGCCCCTCTCCCCCGCCCCCACCAATCTGATACCAATCAGTGATGTTTTAATTTTCATTCCCACTGTGCTCCTATCTCAACATTCGTGTTTTAGGTTGTGGGCGTAAATGCAAAGAGACTCCGCTAGAGCTGCTGTTCGTGATTGACAGCTCAGAAAGCGTGGGGCCGGAGAACTTCCAGATCATCAAAAATTTTGTGAAGACCCTGACTGACCGGGTTGCACTGGACCTCACCACGGCCCGCATTGGCATCATCAACTATAGCCATAAGGTGGAGGAGGTGGCCCATTTGACGCAGTTCTCCAGCAAGGATGATCTGAAGCGGGCCGTGGATGACATGCAGTACCTGGGGGAAGGCACTTACACGGCCACAGCGCTTCATGCCGCCAACCGCATGTTTGAAGCAGCAAGGCCGGGTGTGAAGAAGGTGGCCTTGGTCATCACTGATGGACAGACAGATACCCGTGATGAAAAGAATCTGACCAAGGTGGTGAAGAACGCCAGTGACACCAAAGTGGAGATATTTGTGATTGGGGTGGTGAAGAAAAATGACCCCAACTTCGAGATGTTCCACAAAGAAATGAATCTCATTGCTACCGACCCGGATAGCGAGCATGTTTACCAGTTTGATGACTTCATTACCCTTCAAGGTAAGACTCAGCTCCAGGGGAAAGGAATTTACATTGTCCTTCCAAGTCCCACATCTCTGAATTATCCTGACCAAAAATGGAAATCAGGCCGCTAATGAGGCTTATACCAGCATGTAACATGATAACTCCGGGAGGTAAAGACACTTAGTATCGTTGAGCCCAGGGAGTACAAGCCCTCGTCTTTATTCACTTGCGCTAAGTGCTGAGTTGGCCTTGGAGTTGTTGAACTGGGTTATCTGTGATCGAAGGATGTGGATGAAAAGAAAGGATAGGATTTGGGGGCATTGCTGAGATTCGTTCACATTCAAAACACTTCCTAACTTGGATAAGAGATGCAGCGAGCCAGCAGCAAGGCAGAAAATAACCACAGAATCAAAGGGAATTAAGAAGTGTGTACAGTGAGTGAAAAAAATTATGGTGACCTAAAGAGATGAGAGTCACAGTAACGGGGATTATCCTATTCTATTCTCTAGTCTCTGTTCTTATAGACAGATAATGTCCTATCTCTGTTTGTTTGAAAACAAAGAGTAAACAGGTTATGTCAGGAGCTTATCTTAAAGAACAGCATTTTGAATACTCATCATACAGTCAGCGCTAACCTGATGGGTTTCCCTAAACTGCTTTGCCCTTCCACGTGAACTGCTGTTTCCTAGTGAGGCATTCTGAGACACCGACTCACTTGTGATTAAAGTGCTGCAGTATTACTTTGCAATGAAACGTTCCAATTATTTGGAAGCTGATCATTTCATTCTGTCGTAGCCCACACCCGGCAGGCTGGTGAAATGAGTAAGGTTTATACTTAATGTGTTTGCAGGTTTGGGGCTGACCCCATCCGTCCTTCTCCACCCATCTGGGAGGGCACCTGACATGGCCTGGCACAGGCCCTCCTTACCACCTCCTGTTCCCAGCTACCCGGGTACCAGCACAGCTGGCCCTAAGGAGAGCAGACTACACTCAGAACCTTCTCACTTTCCACTTCGGTCTTTCTCCAGACCTTTCCAACCTGGGTTCCCATTTCCTTAACACCCTGTTGGGTGCCTAAAGGGTTTATCTTGTGTATTTCATTCTCACTGGGCTCTTAAAGTGTTAGAATGGCCAGAAATATTACACATTTCAGAGACAAGTTACAGGTTAGTCATTGAAGAGCTTTATCATCTTAACCAAAGGAGTTAGTAATTTGTTCTCGTCAGTGAGGGAGATATAATTTGGGTGTAGCTGACCTTTTGAATTCCCTAAACCAGAGGTAATTGCCTGTTAAACTTATTATGGGTAAGACTTGCCCCTTCCACAGAGTAGTTGGCAGTCAACTGATGCTTTGGATAAAAACCATGTAAGTCGTTCTTTTGCCTGTTTGAGCCATCATATATCATTCAATTAAATTAAGCTATTTTCAATGGCCCCTTACAGGTGATGTAAAAATGCTTTAATACTTAGTTCCCCTAGTGGTTGACTTCAAGTGAGGGGAATGTGTCTATTTATTTTAAGGAGAGCGCAGAAGATCTCTTGAGCAGGTTTTGAGTACTGTTTCATTGCTCCCACTACCCTCTTTTCTACTTCTCTTTTAAAAGATACCCTGAAACAGAAATTGTTTAAAAAGAGTTGTGAGGATTTTGAGTCCTACATCTCTCAAGTTTTGGGTTCCCCATCGCTTCAACCCGGATTGGGGATATCAGGGGAAGAACTCGGTGAATCCACTCCAGAGCCCCAGGAAGAGATTTCTGAGTCTGTAAGTAACTGCCTTAATTTGTGAACCTAAAATTGTGTATTCAGTCTGTTTTACATCCAATACCAACTTGCCCTGCATTGTCAAGAACCAGCTGAGGTATGTATTATTTTCAAGTCCTTGGCTCTAAATAGTAACACTTTGTCTCCTGATATCTAGTTCTGAAATGGTTCTGGGGCTTGAGCATGAACATGAGATTCTAAAATATTTCCATATCTTACAATAATTTTTAATTAAACATTGCAAATAATATTTTTATACTCCACTCCTGCCACCCCCAAAGTAATCATGCCCACTAGAGCAGATTAACACTACACTATCTGAATCACCCCTTGCCATCCTTGGCAGCTCCTTTAGTACCAGGTCACAATTCTCCTGCATCCATCTGTGTACCCACTCTCCACTTTGGACCTACTCAAGTTCCTTCCAAGTGCTCACATGCTCCACCTGCCACCCTCCCAACCTCTAAGCCACACTTTTGCTCACTTGGCTTCCACGGCTCGTGCCCAGGGAGGAACGGGGAGGGAGGCTCGGCGTCTACACGGCGCAAGATCGATGCTGTGTTTCAGAGTTCCCCAATCACATGTGCATGAAAGAAACACCTCCTGAATGTACTGAGACAAATGTGATTGTCCTAATAGCAAGCTTCTGGGCACTGGCTTCAGCCAATCTTGTTACAAGCAACTGCTAGGTTTTTTTAGGTGAAAAGTGGAGAGCCTCTCATTCTTACTGGTGAGTGAGTGTTGTAGTCTCTTCCCCACCAAGTTACAAGTAAAGCAGGTGTAGACTGACCTCTGCCAAACATCTGGACATCGTCTAGCAACCAGACACAGAGCAGTGCCCCTGCCCTGTAAGCTCAATGAAGTCCCTGTGAAGCTTATGTGTTTATGAAGCCTTCACGGACATAAAAGATTCACTGTCATCAAGTGCATCAATATTCTAGCATAGGATTCAGCTAACTGTCTAGCTGAACTAAGGCGCTGGGAAACCTCTGATCAGTAGGTGGACCCAGGACCAATCAGGAGTCAGGCTAGGATGCCATTCTTACAGGGACAAACTACAGGACTCAAAATTTTTACATTATGTTCAAAAAAGACAAAAAGGCCTCTATTTCTATTTGATTAAATACCAAGGCACTTCAGGATGGGTAATTCCGATGAGGGCAACAGATTGCCCCCCTGGATTGTAGCTTGAAATTAACACACACATTTATACCACATGGTCTATATCAGGGCTCAACAAGCCCTTTCTGTAAAGGGCCATACAGCAAATATTTGGGGGTTTGTAGGCCCTGTGATCTCTGTTGCAATGACTCAGCTCTGCCTTTGAAGTGCAAAAGCAGCCAAGGCCAGTACTTAAGTGAATGAACATGGCTGTGTTCAGATCAAACTTATTCCCCAAACAGATGAAGACTCAGATTTAGCCCATGGGGTTTGCCGAGCCTGGTCTTTACCGAGCCTTTTAAAGTAAATTACAGACAATAATGTGCACAGTCTGTCTCCTCCTGAGCATAGAATGCTCTGGGGGCTTGCCTGCTTGTGTGGCTTATCCCTTTGTCCTTCCCCTAGTTAATCCATGTCCCTTTCTACAGATTTTCTACCCAAGAGCAAACTCAGGTTTCATCCGGCAAGTGGTGCTTAAGCTGAGCTCTCATCATCATCAGTTAATTCCAGGGGCATGTGCTGATCATTTACTGCAGTGCTAGGTGGTGGCTCTTAAGACACAGTTCCTGCCCAAGAGAAATGTATGGTCTATCAGGGGGTAGGTAGGTACAAGAAGTACTAACAGCGTTAGCAGAGGTATGGATGAAACGCAAGAGATGAGGCAATTAATTTCAGGGCTTGTGGAGGTGTCATTGAACAAGTAAGAGTTTTTCAAGGCAAGTAGGGGGAAGGGTATTTCCAAGAAGAGGGAACATGTGGGCGAAGGGGGATTCCCAAGGGCATGGTATTTTAAGAAATTAGAACAAATTCAGTCCTAACGGAGCCTAAGGTGTGTGTGTCAGAATGGTGAGAGCTAAAGCTGGACAAACAGTTTGAGAACTAATTATGAATGGCTTCATGTGTCAAGCTAAGGAGCTTAACTCCATCCACAAGCCAGGCAACCAGGAAGAAACAGATGGTTTTAAAGCAAGGATCATACGGTCACATTTGGTTGCAGTGTAAAAGAGCAATAGGAGGAGGAGGAGAGGAGACTGGAGGTTGGATTATGAGGTGTCACAGTCCAGGTGAGGGACAATGGGGCCTCCAACTAAGGCGGGGCCGCTGGAGTGAAAGGAGGCACAGACTGGAAAGCCATTTTTGGGGTAGAGTGAACAGGATTTAGTGATTGAATTGGAGGTTAGGGAGAGGGTCTGGGGGTGACAGTTGGATTTTTAGCTTGGAGATGGGGTGAATTCAAACACCATCTACTGAGATGGAGACCGTAAGAGGCAGGGTTAGGGTTTTTTGAAGGGAGACAGTGGAATTAGTTTGTAAAGTGCAGGTGGCTGAGGGACATCCAAGGCAATTATGACACAGAATGAGGCACTTCAGGACCCTGTGCCTCTGGTGTCATGACCCAGGAAGTCAGATGGCCCTGAGAGACCAGTGATAATAGATTCTGATGAGGAAGCATTCTAGTAGCTGGAGAGGGAGGGGGTGGGGGTAGGGAGGGCATAAGAAGAGTACATCCAAGATAGTTTGGATTTCAAACACCAAAAGCCACACGGTGGGAAATGAAGCATCAGTTGGGTCTCCCTAGCTGGCCTCTGAGATAGTGGGAGCGTTCAATGAACTTGAACTTGGATAGCCCCTCTTATCTCTAGACCTTTTCACTCTGCTCTCTTTGCAGAAGCACCAAGGCAAGACTGAATTTTGAAACAATGAATGTTCCTAATAGGTATTTAGTCTGAATAAACATATATGCATTTACACTCACATGTATACCTCCATCATATGTACATACAATGTATATACACACATAAATACAAGAACATATTTATATATCTGTGCAGGCACACCCACCTTTATCTAAGAGTATAATTACAGTATCCAAACATCTCAAGTAATATGTGAATCTGTCAAAAACTCTCGATACTTAGATTGTTCCCCAAGCTACCCTAGGCAATACTGCAAAACAAATAAACAATCTCAGAAGTCCTTGTTCCCTTTTTATATCTCTGTTTCCTTTCTCAGTTGTCTCTTCCATCATTCCTTAAAACACCTAGCTCTGTATTCCATCTTCCTCTTCTTTCTATCAAAATCTGCTTTTAGGGAAAAGTCTGATGACCGTTATTTACACTTTAATGAAATCAAAGTCAATGGGTTTCTTCCTCTTAGAAGGACTTGCCTAGTTGTGGAATGAGCATCATGTCCACTAAACATCTACCAACAGATGTGTTGGGAAACACAGAAAACAGAAGGATTTCCCAGGTTCCACCAAGTTCATAACACTTCGACAACCCCCGCTCTGTTACCCTTTCAGGCCTATCTTGGGAAGCTAAATGTGTACGTCCATTCTATTCTGTCTTGCTCCTGAAATCTCAGGATAGTTTATACTTTCTTCTGGGATTTTTCATGCTGTATGTTGTTAATAATTATTTTTGTATGTACCTTAACTTTCCTAATGGATTTAAATTCCTTGAGGACATCTGTGTCTAATTCCACTTTGTGTCTCTCCGGACCTAAAATTGTGCTTCGTCTTGCACATAATAGATGCTCAATAAATACTTGTTGACCAGATGAATACTATGCCAACTGTTAGGCTAAAAGAGAAATCTGAGGATTTTCTTCAGTGAAAGGCTTCAATTATAGTGTTATTTAAAAAGATTGCATACATAAAAGTCCTTGTTTTTTATGGAACTAGCAATGTTGGCACTTCATGTTCCTTTATTCTTTCTGACTGTGGCCAGTTGGGGAAAGATTTCCAGGATACAAACAGGAGGAGGACAGTAAAGTCAAGTAAACATCATTTAATCAGACCAAGTGCCTATATCCAGTAATGGCCCATTAAGCAAATAAGTATATTAATTTCCTGCATAAAGTCACTTTTTGTCATTCTAAATATATTAATAAATAAAGCAACATGAATGCACAGGTGTTTATTCACTGGAGCTGGTTTCTTATAAAAATATTCTAGATTTCCACCCCCTTGCCCCATGAAAGAGTGGAAAGGAAAGTAGCCCTGTCTACCCTTTCCATAAAGCTCCTTTTTTGTATTATGAAAAATTGTTCGTAGATTGCAAATAACTTGGGTAACTGGCAGCAAAGATTTTTTCCTCTCTGTAAAAAAGAGGCTGTGGAATTCCAATGAGGAGTGATTCCATAGCAACCCAGTGAAGGAGACAGGCAGGCTGATGTGGCAGGAGTCCCTCTGAGTAGCTCCTGCAGGAGGTGGACAGAGGTGGTGGAGGAAAAGGGGGAGCTGTTGGTCTCCTCCTTCTATGTGATAGGGTCCAATGCCAGCCTTAAGCCTAGGATGCAGGCTCCAATTTCCATGGAATAAATGGATATTCTGCACCCATGTAAATTACAGAAAACTAACAGCAGGTCGACTTCACTGGCCATCGTCCCCCACCTTTGTCCATCCTCTCTTTTAGTGAGACCCTATCCCTGGTCCCTGTCCCACTTGCCTCATTTCTTCCTCTCCTGTCATTGTCACACACACACACCCCTCCATCTCAATTCTCATCCTTTCCATCTCTCCCATCTCTTACTCTCCTCTCCCTACAACCCTTACTCATTCTCAGTCCTTCTCAAGATCCAGCTAAAGGAGGCCACTTCTGAAACTAGGGATCTATTGGCAATTTTTTCAGGAACTGGAACCCTGGGCAGGTTCTGCTGTGATATTGGAATCGGATGCATCCCTTCATCCTACAACCTGACGATGAGCTCCATCCTCAATTCTGATGTGACTCCTGTTAGTGCCCTGCTGGGCTCTGAGACCCACTCCCTCCTGCCCCTCCCAAGTCCAGGACCTTCTTCAGGTGGCGCCCTTTCCTGCCAACACTTCTGACTTCTCCC